TTTTAGTATAGTCAGCAAGGACACAAAGATAAAGAGACACACTATTTCTTTTTCACAAAAGTTTTCTTTGAAATAGTAATTTCAATAGGCTTCTAATGATGAAATGTTTACATGTGTGTTAAAATGGATTTGAAAAGTCAAAAGAAGAAAAACGTTACTTGCCAGAAACCTACAACCTACATAAAAGGCATTTCGATTAAGAAAATTGTATTACAGACTAACCTTCCCTTCAGTAAAGTCATTATAAAATGACGGATGCTTTTCCAGGAGCTCCAGACAGCGTCAAGACACCATGGATTCACTCAGTGGACCAATCAGCCACTTCGCAGTCGATCTGTACCAACAGATCAGACGGACATCAACCGGGAAGAATATCTTCTACTCCCCCCTCAGCATCATGTCAGCCTTGGGCATGCTTTACTTGGGGTCCCGAGGAAACACTGCTGCACAACTTCAGAAGGCAGGTGGCAGCTTCCTTTACCTGGAACAGTTGGCACTGGTCCCTCTGTTGTCTTGTGTTCAGATGGTCACAGATCTGGCTGTCCCCAGGGCTCGCACAGAGAGCGGCAAGCAGCCGCGTGAGTGGGTGGGTCCAAAGTGGTGGGGGACACACGTCTCCCCCAGTGCCCGGCCCCCTCTGCTTCCCTGAGCCCAGACCTCCTCTGGGACCCACATGAACCCCTACAACTGCCCCCCAACCAGAGGGGAAGAGTTTAGCTAGAAGTGACACATTGACTACATTCCGTGGGAGACAGCTTTGCGTGCTCCATCTGCAGTGAGTGAAGATGAATCAGGATTCTTTCAAGTGGCTGGTGATCAGCCCGCTTTGCTGTGTCCTCAAGGAGCAAAATGCTTACACTTTACTTCGCTTTGTTCTTAAGTCTTTGTTTCTCTCTTTAGTGTTTTTTTTTTTTTTTTTGCTTTGGTTTGGGGCTTTAGTTTGTTTTCTTGCAAACTTTCTTCCTTTTTGCCTTCTTTTTTCCTTCCTCCCTTCCTTTCTTTCCTTTCCTTCTTTGAGGTAAAGATCTTTACAATTTCTTTGTCCCACTTCCTGTCTCCCGCAGGCCCTTCACTTTAAAAAGGTCGCAGAGAACCCAACAGGAGGAGCCACAGCAGATCCGGTGAGTCCCAGTGCACTTGGGCCTGGAGGGAGATCACACATCCAAGACGGTCGCACGTTACACTGGGAATTTCAGATAAACGGAGGAAAGTCCATTTTTAGGGAAAATCTTAAGCAAAATAAATTGGACAGAGTTGTGTCTCATTTTATATTACATATTTATTTCATACATCTGTTTCCCTAAAAGGAGATTAGCATCTCCTTAAGATCATGGGCTCTGGAGCCCGAAGTTCCCTGCGAATTCCTTCTCACAAAAGCTGTTCACAGAGAGGGAAGAGCAAAATACAACTGCTCTGAGTCATCGAGTCCCCATCCCAATTAACCAGGGGCAGTAGCAGGTCAGCGGCTGTACATGCAGATGCATGCAAACCACGGCCACAGCGCCTGGGTGATGGAAACCCTGACACGTGGTATGTGCTCCATTTACAGAATCCCAGTCATTACCATAATCAGAACAGTGTGGCTAAAGTGATGTGATTTCAGTTAACTCATACATTAGAGTCAGAGCAATAAGCACACATGCAGATGTATTTTGGACAAACGTTGACTGAGGGTTATGATTGTAGACCGAACAGTCCAAAGCCCTCAGCGAGCAGGCGCACGGTTCCGGGTTCACACAGGCCTGAGGTGCATAACTCGCTTTGCTGCACTGTCTCCTTGGACAACTTTTGGAACTCTCAGAGGGCTCTTGTTTCCACGGGAATTGGGCTAAAGACTTAGAGAGAGCCATGTCAGGCCGTCGGCACGTTACCCAGCACACACGGCTCCTGCACTGGGAGTCTGACCGTTGTGAGTGAAGAGCCATCGAGCACAGTGCGCAGGTCTCAGAAGGACATCTCAACAGGCAGCGGAACGGGGCTTCCTGTCGTAACAGAGGGTGACTTACGCTTTGACGTTCTCATTCCCTTGATGACTGTGAGAGATGCAGTGCGGTTCTAGCCTTCAAGGAGCGTAAGTTTACTGGGAAGCGAAATCTAACCGTGAGACAATGAAGGCACAGCCCGCAGCGGAATGGTGCTGCATCTCTGCGTCAAACTAGACGTGTTTGGAGAATGTTGGAGGAGGAGGCATTTCCAGGAAGACCGAGTGTAAGGATTTGAAGGATATTTCAGAGAAAATACACCGAATACCAGGGAATAACAGCAAATGTCATCGGTGGGGATACAGTGCGTTAGAAACAGATCTAACAGACTTAGGTGGGTTTAGTATTTACACCAAGAGAGAAACTGATGAGCTCTCATTTTGATGTTTGAAGGCTGAAAATCCAGAAAATCATCAGTTTCAAAAGCTTCTGACTGAATTAAACAAACCCACCGATGCCTATGAGCTGAGCGTCGCCAACAGGTTCTATGGCAGAAAGGAGTTTCCCTTCCTTCAGGTGAGTTTCCCCGGCCTGCCCACACGTTTCATCCGCATCCTGGTCCTCGGCCCCCCGGTCTCCAAATGGGGGAGGAGAGGCAGGGGAGCCTGGCTGACCCCCACGGAGAGCATTTACCCCGGGGACTTCGGTCTCTCGTACCACAATCCACCCTCGGGTTTCCAGAGCCTGACCACTCAGCAGTGATGTGCGTTTGGGATGGTCCCACGTCCTCTCTCTGGTCATGACTGAGCATAATTTAATTTGGGGATGCTTACGAA